TCTAACTCATCTATCTGTCTCTTTTGGCACCGCTTGGTTCAGATTCAAATTTGCTTTGGGAAACAGCGGGCTGGGACTGTAAAGTCCTCTGCTTGGAGATTTTGCTCCAGAACTCAATGGTATTTAGGCATCAAATTCCCACTGAAATATTAGATGAAGAGTATCTCAGTGTCTCTGAGGAGCTGGGCATTTCAACTCCAGTTCTAATGGGGCTTCAAGTACTTTAGCTACTTAAAGAGTGCTACTTGACTAGAGATCACAGGAGTTTCCTGGCCATCTGGAAGCTGAGCTCATTTTCCTGCAAGTTTTTTCTCTTTGAGGTTTTTCTGCTACAGCTTGGGAAAGTTTGCATGAACTGCCTTGCCCTGCCCTTGAAAACATGGATGCTCCTTCAGGCTCGGTGGGCACTAGTGTCAGAAAGAACAGATTTACTGACAGAAGGGACGAATGAACTTTCAGTATCCTTCTTAATCAGGAATCGTGCTGCCTGAAGTTTTCCTATATAAGCTGACAAGTTTCAATTCGAGCATCACTGCAATTAGGAAAATGCTGCTACTTGCCAACAGGGAAGGATTAGCAATTTTTATTTATTTTTTATTTATTTCTGACTGAGCCGTGTCACAAATCAAGTGAGCAAGCAACGACTCAGAACCAGGTGGTAACACTAATCCAGAGGTAAAACTCCTGCAAACTGTTTTTATTGGAATGCCTCACCCTGGTCACAAAAGTCAAGTGCACACAGGACTGAGTGGATTATCCCCAGGTAGGACATTTGCACAGGTCTGTAGATTCCTTCCAGTTGATGACCAGGATGGTACATATATGTCAGTGACAATCCACAGCCCTCTGGGGAGAACTGAGAAGAACTGCTGGGAAGAACAGATCAAGAAGAAGCTGCATTTTTTCCAGCCTCCTGGCCATGTGCTGCTGATGGGCGTGCCTGGGCTTTGCTCTGATCCGGTTAGCTTTTCAATAGCTACTGCCTTCAGCTACAGAATCTGTGGATTCAGTGATGTGCCAGAGTTACGGTGACCAAACAAGGTGTAACCCCTCAGCTGAGCTCCAGTAATACCCACGCATGCACTTCCAGCATGCTCCAGCAGCGCAGTGCAGTTTCGTTTCAGCGCCTTTTCCTAAGGTCAAGTGGGATCAAAGCACATCACCAAGGGTGTTGGCTGTGAGCTTGTGCTGTCTGAGCTTGTAATTCAGCAGAACAGAGTAATTTGTCACATGAATGTGGATCTGCACCTCTGTCTGGCTTGCATTTTGGGGATAACAGTGACACCTGTCAGGAGACCTCGTTTCCTGGGGTAGAAATGGAAGAAATGGGCTGTGGGGGTGTGAATGTGATTTCAGGTAGACCATGGGGAAAACCCCCAACTGTGGATGGTGGAGCCTGGGCAGATCTGATTGCCAGGATGACGTGGATATGTGCTCCTCACTCTGGAAAAGACTCCTTCCTTTCCTCTGCTTCCTCCAGCCTGTTTCGTGTGCTCCTGAGTGTGAGCAGAACAAAACTTGATGGTATCCAGTGCGCTACAGGACTGAGAGCAGTGGACAGTCAGCTGTGGGCTAGCTAGAAATGATTAATTTTTCCAGGACACTGCACTGCTCTTTTATAAAACATATTAGTGTTGTTATAAATCAATGAACATGGTTTATAATAGCAATGATGCCCTTGAAATCTGTTAATACTGCAGTCGGTGGTGGTTTGTCAGAGCATTTAGTGCCCTTGGTTTCACCTTGGGCTATTAACTAACAAATCGGTTATTAGCCAGTGGTAATGACCAATTTTCTAGGGATGATTGCTTAAATATTGCCCACCTTGAAAAGAGAATTATTGCTCAACTGAAAACTGAACCCTTATTTTCAACTCGACAGAGCTAATGATCTTATCTGATTTCTTTATCTTCCTCCACCTACTCGAAGGTGTTCCGAGATCGTATTACTGGAGAACTGCTTCGCCTTCTGCCTTCTGTGACTCGAATCCAGGAAAAGTTCCATATTTAATATTTATTCCCTAAGCATCGGTGGATGAAGACAGATGGTAATGAAACCAGCGTTGCTGAAAGTGACCACAATGATAATAGATTCTTTATGATGTCCAGGAATACTGGACTCTCAGTCTCGGCTTAAATGTAGCATGGCGCCAAGCCCGTCACCTTAAGCTTAGTATTCCTGTCATCTCCCTGACCTGTCTTTAGACCTGATGAGTGCAGGCTGCACTAAAGGCATCAATCTGTCTTTCTCTCCCTATAAATGTTTTAAACACCCAAAGCTGGTCATAAATGACACATTCTGCAAGAAAACCTTTGCGGGGCAGGGGCTGGGAAGCAGAATATGTAGGGTAAAGAAAAAGAGAGAGAATTTACTCTGGACCTCATTGGTTGTACGTGTTTGTTAAAAATACTGTTATCTGCCCGTGTTTGTGTTTTCTACTTCTTACAGCCTTCTCCTTAAAGCAGCAAATTTTAAATGTTTTTGGCATCAGGAGCCTCTCAATTTTTTCAGCAGAGTTGCAAACAGCTATGTTTTGAATTTAGTATATGGATGGTGGAATTTGGGCTGTTAACTTTCAGGGATCCCTTAGGACTCACGCAGGTTTGAGGACCACAGGGTGAATGAAAGGGTTTTGACTAGGAGCTGAATTTCCCTCTCTTCTCAGGCTAATGCTGCTGCTAAATTAAAACTCTGCATTTCAGGAAACCAGATTCAGTTTCTGGTTCTGCCAGTTAGCAGTCTGCATGCTGGTTTTGTGACTCTTGTCTTCCCCTAACTTTGTTTAATGAACCTTTACTTTAAAATCCTTTTTGTCCCTGATAACACCTAGCGATACGACTCTGAATATCAGATAGAACCTTTTGTCTGCACTGTAATTTAAAAAGCATGTATGGTCAAAGGAGGTGGAAGTGATCAGAAATCCCACTTCTTCTGTGAAGCTAATTATAAGTAGAGAGATGTGTTTGGCTGAGGACCACATTTCTGAGCCTTTGCAGTACCTACTGGGGGAGTGGTGGCTCCACACGAGTTTGCAGCACCACCAAGGGCCACAAGTCCTCTTGTGGTCTGCTTTCTGCCAGTGCTGAGAACAGTGGTTGGGGCACAGAAAAAAAACTGTGTGGTTGTGGCCAGCAGTGGCTGGGACCCTCTGCACATGGGGTGGGCTTGGAACAAAGAATCAGAGGAATAATTTGGGCAGCATGTCCAGTTCCTCAAGCTCCTGTGGCCAGCAGTGCAATTCTGCAACTCTGTGCAGCTTGAGCTGCAGTAGTGGAAGCTGTATGTGCAGCTGTACTCAGTAAAATTAATGGCAAAAGTCCCCACGAGTCCTAGCAGGCAGAGATGTGTATGTCAGATATTCGAGGAGAGGTGTTTCTGGGATGGAGATAACATTTTATTGAAAGGAGAAAGGCTCTTATGCCTGTGCAGGATTTGGACATCTTTGTCCAAATTTTCAGTTTTTGAAATAACAGCAAAAAGTCTCCACAAAAGGAGAGCAACTTGGGTTAAAGTAAATATACCTTGCAGGTTAGCAATGGAAAATCAGGCCTACTGAGCAGCGACTGAATCTTCTAAGATGCTGCTGGATAAATAAATAAGTAGACTTACTTTTTTCTTGCTTTCCAAGGAAGAGCAACATGCGGTGCTCTTCATCTGGCTGAGACAGCAGGAACAGTCTGCTGGGGACATTGGGAGCATCTTTCTTGCCTCCACTCTTTATGCTGCCAGTGTCAGGTCACTGGTGCTAGGTCTCATTGAGATTCCCAGTCCAACAGGAGTAAATAATGGATGCTGCGCCAGCTGGCTGCTTGGCCTGTAAAATTCTGCTTCTAAACACAGGATAAAAGGAGAGAAAAAAATGCATCCTTCCCTGTCTGGATTCCTCATACTGCTTCACTATAAAGTATATAGAAAATATAGAGTATAACTTTAACCCAGAGGTGTTTTTAAAAGATTCTCAGTGCATTAGGCCAAAGAATTATGCCATTCTGTATGGTAGGGCCATGCAGTTATCTGTTTTCTGTAGTTAAGTTAGATAAGCCACTGTTTTATGCAAGCTAAAGCAGTCACAGCCTGATAACCCTCAGCAGGGCTCTAAAAACCCAGAACCAACACACGAGGAGACTTTTCTGGGCTGAGCACAGCCAAAATATGAAGGTGACAGGGGCTGTGCAATTGTATTGCTACCACTTTATCACAAGAGACAAGGTGTATGTTCAGGGCATTCACCTCTTCAAAATCAAACAGCCTTTATCCTGCCCTCGCTGTAAGCTCAGAACGATTCCTACAGGAGGCAGCTTGATGGCAATATAGAGTGAATTGGAAACCCTGCTCCTTGAACTAAACACCTTGAGGACAGGGCACTTGGGGACAGACATCCTAAGTGACCCTTTGTCCAGCTGGAAATACCTGAAAAATGCCTGCATTTCAGAAAGTGGGTGCTGGGCTCTACTAGAAGACTCACTAAGTGATGTGATCCCTCAAAACAGAAGTCCTCATAGTCACTGGGCACCTTGGAATTCCTGGTGATTGTATCCCAGGCAAACTTCGGAGTGTACATGTATGAACCAGGTAAAAGCCAACTCTCAGAGCAGAACATGAAGTCTCAAGAAAAGCACTAAAATTTGGCATGATGAAGTGCAAAACAAATTAAATCCCAGTCATGCAGCTGAAGTTCCCTCCTTTCAGTAATCTACAGTACACACAAATGCACCTTAACTTGTAAAATTTATCACTACAAGCATCATCGCCTCAAGGAACGGAGATTTTCTTCCTGCTTTCACCCTCCTCTTTGCAAGTCTTATGACACTTGCTTGTGCCCCAAACCCAAAAGAACAGATTAGCCAGCAGAGAGAGGGTTAACGTGGTTCCATGGGGTAGAGCTCCACTCACAGCTGAGGGCCCTGAGCATTGGGGTGGGATGGGGCAGCTGCAGGGCATTACCTGCCCAATGCAGATGAGAGCATTGTGAGAGAAACAGCTTAAAAAGAGACAGAAAGTTTTCTGTGGGTTTTGCAAGAGCTCTGTCACCATGGGAAGGACTTTCTGTCTCTTTATGCTTTTACTTGGCTTTGTGGGGGGTGTCTCTAAGATGCTACTTACAGGTAAGATCATTTCTTTTTAGAAGCCCTAGGGGCTAGGATTGGGGTATGGTACACCTCTCTTCCCTTCCTGTCTTCTGAGTGTTTGCTGCAAAGCAAGGCAAGGTATTCCACTTTATTTATTTATTTAACTGAAAGCTAGCTGCATTTATCTTAGTCCTTCTAGGTGGGTGGGAGATCTCATCCAAAAGTAGGTTCACCTCTCCAGAAGCGTGGGCTGCAATAATCCCTGCATGGGAGCAGCAGGCTTCAGGCTTTCTGAAAGTCTCTGAGTGGCTCCATGGGGGCAAAGCAGCCCCTGTGCAGTGAGGTTGTCTGAGAAACCCTGAACAAACCTGTGGTAGTCTGCTGTGGCGTGCTCTCTGCTGCTGATAATACTTCTATTACAGCTGGATGTCTTTCTAAAAGATTACTTGAATTCAGCTGCAACTGCAGGACCTGATGTGGAATTTAATTTAGAGGAGCCCCATGGCACGGAGATTGGGTGATCAGTAGCACCTTCTGCCCTAAAATCATGAATACCTGGTTCTATAATTTATTTAGTCAAAAACCAGGTTTGGCTTTCACAGTGGCCAAGTTGCCCCCAGCAGTGTGTATTTTCTCAACCTTCTTTTAGAAAAGGCTGCCAAAACCTCATGCTATGAGGAGCACAGACAACCTCTCGAATGTGCAGTGTGCTGTCTGCTCTGTGTGATTGTGGTGAGCAAAATATAAATCTCTCTAGTAAAAGAACTCACAAGAAGTCTGTCTGCCAAGTTGCTTTCTTTCTTGGCTGGGAGTCTAAGGGAACACTTCTTTTTGTTGTTGTTTAAGTGGGAAAACAATTGAATTAGGCCCTCCAGCTCTGACCCCTGTTCTCTAAGGCACTTGTTCCCACCACCCTGCATTCTGAAAATCAGGATCAGAAAGTTCAACTCTCAGAGCTCATCGGAGCAGGGAGCTGCTGTAGAATGAGTCTGGGGGCATGTTTTGGGCATGGTGACTCTTCTGTGGTAGCTTCCAGAGTGGATGTTCTCCTGTCCTTCAGAGGTTTTCATGCAACCTGGTTTGATCCACTTTGCAAAAGGATTAATGTAAACTACAGGAAAGGTATTCCTGGTTTGGGAGTTTGTGAGATAGCTACTGCTTTCAATACTTGTCCTCCTTTATTTTGTGCTCCTTTCCAAATTCAAGTCAAGTCCTTAGTAGAGCAGTGCACTTGCAGAAAATCCTCATAAGTATGAAGAAATAAATTTGGAATTGTTGCTTTTAAACTCGGTAGACTTAAAGTATGGCCAGTGTCTTTTCGAGAATCTGTGGCTGAAATGTTGTGAGCTTAGCAGGTGGGATTTCAGGGAGGATCCCTATGGTACTGCTGCGTGGAAAAGCTTTGTCTACAGCATGGAAGGTGTTGGTAGTGTGACCCATTTAATGAAATGTTCTCCAAGTTGACCAAACCTTCTGGTACGTAATGTGATGACTTGTTTGTATCACAAAACTGTTGAAAGCAGTGGCTGGGCATTCTCTTATTGGTAAATGAGGTGTGCATTGGAAGTAGAACAGTACTTGAGACTGTTGGGGAAATGGGGTGATACACCCCGGAATTTCTTTTATGTGAAATGAACCTACTTGTGTGAATGCTAACAAAAGCTCACCTGTCCTTACCTGCAGCAAGCTTTTATCTAGATAACATTCCTGTGCCTTCTGCTGTGTGCTGTGAAGTCTTGATGCGCATGCAATGCCATGATGGAGACAGGAGATCTGAACTGAAAGAGCAAATGCAGAATGACACAAAAACCAGAATGACACAAACATCTGGAAACTCCATTAGGAGTGTGGTTTCCCAGATGGTGTTGAGAGAGGGGGGAAAAATTGGGCTGCAGACACCAGACGGTCTCACCTTGCCTTGGCAGCTTGGAGAGAAAGGAGGTGGAGGGGTCAGTAGCACCAGAAAAACAATAAGGAAGATCTGCTGAAGCCTGTCTCTTCTCTCATCTCTTTCCATTGCCTTCCACTGCCTTGGCCAAGTTGCTTGATGAATTTTCCTACTGTCAGCTCTTGGCTTTTTTTCTTTGAAGTCATGCTGTGCTCTGTTCCCAGATGGCTTCTCCTGTGCCCCTGTGCTTCCCCTCTGTCAAGCACATCATTAAAACTCAATTCTTCCAAAAGGTAACTTATATACTCATAGCGCTTCATATCAAATATCTGTGGGTTTTCAAAGGGGAATAATAAAGACAATTTCCAAATATACTAACTTTGCTGTCACTTCAAGTCTACCATTCTCCCTCCCCTATCCCAATGTTTGTGTTGGTTTGACTCAGATTCAAGGATACCAGCCTTGAGGTGTCACTTGTTTCTTGAGAGCCTGTGAGACTGGAAATGAAAATCTTCCAGTGAATGATGCACTTGCAACAGCTAATGAACAGGTGAAGCCACCAAGTAGGGTTTTGCCTCAACAGCCTGGCTTTAGAATAATTTTGATCTCTGACTTCAATGCTGAAGGCTATTTTTTTCTATCAGTAGCCATGCTGGTACATCCTGCAAAAGGCAGCACATCCTATCCTTTGTATTAATGGGGAGCCTACTGTTTCTCTAAAGAACTTCCTAAAAGACCAGGAAGAGGTAAATGTTGAGCTTGGCTTGCTCACATATTAGTTTCTCCATGTGTCTGCATAGCATCTGATGGTTACTTGTTTTATGTAGGTCATGAAAAACAAAGTATTCTGGCTGGAACTAAACAAAGGTAACAGGTAGAAGGGTTGAATTAGCTGTTTTCTTGTAGGATAGGTGTTTGCATTTTTTTTTGCAATGGTACAAGTGACCAAACCAACTATTAATACTCCTGCATGGCTTGTGTGGTGCCAAAGATCTTAGTTGGCTTGTTATGTGAGTGGGCCATGTTATTAGAATAAAGTTTCCAGTGATGTCAAGGATGAAAAGCCTCATGCTGCATGATGGTTATCTTTATTATAAAATGGGTGATCTGAACCTTTGTCCTTTGCTTGAGCTTTTCCAAAGGCTAGGAAACCTCTGCTAATTTACTTAAAATTTTTCCCTCTTGTGTCTTTTTGTGGAGGTCTCAGCAAAGCCATGGAGGTGAAGGTGAAATGCATCAAATAAAATATTTTTGTAGCAGTGCTGGTTCAGCCAGGGTGATGAAAATAGCATGAAAACACCAGATTATGTTTCCAGCACTGTTTGGCAGGCCAAATGAGTTTGGAGGAAATACAAAGACACCAACCACTGGAAGTTTGATAAAATCGATTTTAAATAATAAAGTATTCATTAGTCTTAAAAGTAATTAAGACTTTCAATAAGAGCATCAAATAGCAAGTAGTTCCAAAGGGGGCAGATGTGGAGCTCTTCCTTTACTTAAAGACAAACCAACAAACCTAATGTGTAACCAAGCAATAATAGCCTATTTTATAGTCTCTGGCAATAAGTTAATAATGGCTCTGCAGTGCTAAAGGCTCAGGACAATTTTAAGGGAATTTGATATTTTGGTCATCCAGGGAACCATTTCCAAAGTGAGGCTGCTCTGATTCACGTGACAGCCCTGAAATCGTAGAAGTTGACCTGCAACAAAAGCAAACAGAAAGGAGGCTTTCTGATTCCATCACAAACATTTGGCTGCAAATCACCACCAACCCACTTAAGAAAATGTCAAATAACTTTTTTTTTTTAAGTGGTCAGTTAGAAAGCTTCAGCTTCCAGATCATACAAATTTAGTTTAATACAGAAGTACAGTAAGTTACCCCGTGCCTTTCATGATTATATCAACAGCACTTTCTGTTGGCTGACACATCAGGCTTGTTTAAAATCACTAGACCAAAGCAGACATGCTTTCCTTTGCTTTTTTTCTTCTCTTGTAATTTCTGAATCAATTACAGGAGATTTTGAGAAAAAAAGGAATTAGAAAGAGCAGAAGATGGACAGGTTAAGTGCCAACTGTTAAACCATCATCATTAACAACAAATGGTGTTTTATGACTTTGGAAATAAACAGATTTACTAATCTGAAAATTGTCTGTCTTCTTGCTGTTTTCTTCATGACTGCAATTTATAAGAAGCTGTACAGCTGCATTTCAGGGACATAAGAGAGCTCCTGTGTGAAAATTAGAAATAGATTTCAATTTTCTTGCTTCTGTTGTAACTAAACAGGCTGTTAACCTATTTAAATAGGAGAACATACTGTGTACTCCTGGTCTGGAATACATCAAAAGTAATGTGATTATGTCTGTTTTGATACAACCCTATCTCACTGCTACCTAGATGCTCTTACATGAATGATACATGGAATTAGTTCCACGTTTCTTCTCTTACAATTAGCATATTAATGTGCCAGACAGATAATGCTGAAAGCCTGGATGCTCGAGCACACACAGCGCCTTCATCGAGCTCTAACACTCAGCCCCTGTGAGTCCTCAGGAATGCATCTGTACATGCTCTGCCTCCTGCTTGTCCTACGGGCAGCCCTGACCTGCGGACCACAGCTGAGATGCTTTAGGTGCTTATTTACCTTGGCCTCAGGAATCCCTTTTAAAGAACTGGCTCAGTGTCAGGCTGCCCACAATGGGGCCTTTGCTTTCCCTATGTGAGTGTGTTGAGGTGTGTGCTCATGCACGTCACAGCCACGTGTGTACCTTGCTGGATGTGGGGGCTGCCTAGGGGATTTCTGAGCACCCAGCTCAATGTTTCTGATGTGTCCATGTGTATGTTTACATTAATAGTGTGTGTGCATTTCTTTCTGTACATACACTGCAGAGGCTTAGCCAGTATCCCATGAATTTATATGTCAGGAATTCAGCATGGCTGGTGAAAGTTTCTAATCTTTAGTCTATCTTGGTGCAACACTAATGAACTTGTAAAAACAGGAAGCAGCGGAAAACAAATGAAATTCAGCTGGTGTTTGAAGAGCTGTCAGATCCCCTTGCTGAAATGTTTCAGAGGAACATCTTTCTGATAAAACCTCTGAGAAAAGTGGAGGAGTTTCAGAAGAGTGATTGGAAAAACAGGATGCCGACT